CCCAAAGACTCTAGAGGCATTGACAAGGAATTTAATAGTGGATGGTCCAGGATTTTTCTTATACACAATTCCATATCAAAATGTATAGCTCACCCTGCCCCTGTGGCATAAGAATAGCTCTATCACTGTTCTTAGACTTCAAATCCACACAAAGGTGGGATTAAGACAGTAAAGACACAGAAAGGGTAAGCATTCATTCTTTTAATACAGTGGTTCTCAACCTGTGGGTCATGACCCTTTGGGGGTCGAATGACCTTTGCACAGGGGGTTCCCGATTCATAACAGTAGCAAAATTACAGTTATGAAGTAGCAATGAAAATAATTTTATGGTTGGGGGGTCCCCACACATGAGGAACAGTATTAAAGGGTCATGGCATTAGGAAGGTTGAAAACCACTGTTGTAATAAATGTTTCAGTACATAGACTATGCCTTCAGAAAGATACCACATAGGAAGTCAAATATGTAGTTAAATCCAAGATTGCAATGCTGTGCCTTAAGGGAATGGGTGGCTGTGCATGTAGGTGGGAAGTAAAGGCTTGGTCTGTGGGTCAGTGGATCCTGAAGGAGGACACTAAGGTAAGTGTGGAAAGGTTTGACTAGGCAGGAAAAGAAGCTGACATTGGCAGTCAGAAGAGAGTGACCTTTGTGTGTGTCAAGGAATGGAGTTGTCACTAGGAATGCAATGTCACGGTGCTTGGTGGAAAAAGAAGAGAAAAATACAAAGACACATGTTTGAATTTTCGTTCTGAAAGTCAGGGTAAACCTTTAAATGATTTTGAGTAGAATTTTAAAAAAAATAGGACTAGAAAATTGTTAGAAGAGAGAGTGTGGAATGGAGTATTATAAGAAGAAGGGATATGTGTATTTAAGGAGAAGTATAAAAAGAGATGGTCATATGTGCTGTCAACTAAGTTTAAGGAATGAGTGAGAAACAGTGGGGCCTCCCTCCAGGAAAGCCCAGCCAGGATGAGGAGGTGGTAAGCAAAGATGATGTTAACTCGATCCACTCACTCACGGTCATGAAAGGGGCTCAAACAATTCTGCCATCAAGGCAGCTCTGACTCACAGTGACTCTATAGGACAGAGTAGAACTGCCCCTGTGGATTTCTGAGAATATAAATCTTTATGGAAGCAGAAAGCTTCATCTCTCCTCTGCAGAGACAGTTCAACTCATAAAAGGGGATAGTGGGGTCCAATGCCTTGGGTAAAAGACTCACTGCCATAGAATAGATGCCAACTCCTAGCAGCACTATAAGACAGGGTAGAACTCCCCCTGTGGGTTTTTGAGACTCTCTGTACAGGAGTAGAAAGCCCTAAATTTCTACTGCAGAGTTGCTGGTGGTTTTGAACTGCTGACTTTATAGATCACAGCCCAATGCATAAGCACCACACCACCAGGGCTTCTGTTCCTAAATTAAGAGTACATTTACTGTATTTTAAAAGCTCAAACTCTTTGGGTCTGTTATGGATTGAATGATTTTCTAAAACAATACATCTATATTTTAATCCCTGATACCTGTGAATGTGACCTTATTTGGATATAGGATCTTTGAAGTTATTATCAGTTAAATTAACATGAGGTTATACAGGAGTAGAACCCATCCCATCAATTCTATGTGGACTCACAGCAATCATATTAAAGTTTCTTAGACTGTAGATTTTTAACGGAACAGATAAGATTATCTTTCTCCCAAGATTTGAACTGTTGCTAACTTATGGTTAGCAACCCAACACTTAGCTCACACCATCACCAGGGCTCCTTATATAGGAGTAGAGTGGGTCCTAATTCTATCTGAGTAGTGTTCTTATGAAAGAGGAGAACAGACATGGAGAGACAGAGAGATGCTGCTCTCTCAGAAACTACGTGGCAAGAAAGTATCTGAGATAGTTAAGGTTTATTGTGCCAACCTGGCCGATAAACACATGGGATTAATTGAAGGGAGGAGAGATAAAGGGCTTGGTGAGCCTCGACTTTCTAGTTCTCAGGTCTCTTACTTTCTGATGGTCAGAGCAGGGTCCGGCTGCCTTAGCCAGTTCCCTGCTTCAGCTGGCAAGGCTCACTTCCTGCAAGACATCCCCAAGGAGAAGTCACATGGACCTACCCTGATGTAGCCCTCAGTGCTGGAGCAGCCATATGGAGGCGCCTGCCAGAGGTGAGATGCTTACACATTCACTGATTCAGCTTCCCCCCTGCAGTCAGCATCATTGTGTGTGCTTTGTGAGATGGAGGAGGACATTGTGGATTGGTGCCAGACATATGGGCTAATGTTGGACTTGTGGGATTGGGCAGCACTGCGTTGGGATGCTTCCTTGATGTCCACTTACCCTTATATATAAAACTCTCTCTTATACATATGAGTTTCTGTGGATTTGTTTCTCTAATGTACCCAAACTAACACAGTTTCTTCCCCAGGAGTGTTGGTAGATAGCATGATACTACTAATGCCCTGCCTTGGAATGGCTAGCCTTTGGAATGGTGCAACTATTGTTTCTCTTGTTTAAAGCCATCCATTGCATGGTGTTCTGTTACCACAGCTCTAGAAGACCAAGCTAGGGCCAGTCTACAGAGTACATGAGTGGTTTCAATGGCTAAGCAATAGCTAAGCTAATGCATTTTTAGCCAAAATGCGTGAAGCTAACCAAAAGTTTAGAGGTTTGAGTTTAACCAGAGGTGCCTAGGAAGAAAGGTTTGGTAAGCTACTTCCCCACAAAATCACCTGTTGAAAACCCTATAAAAGACACTTTTGTAATGAAACACATTGAGTCACCATGAATTGGGCTCAGTGTCAACTGTTTATCCGTTGTTTTTACACAGGATCTGAATTTACCCTAGAATGGCAAATATCTTATTCTGAGAAAGAAATAGATCTTGATACAGAGTAAAACCACATTTTTTTGTATTGAAATGTATAACAGTGGGTGGGGAGGGTCCGGGGAGGGCGGGGGAAGCACACCACTGGCACTACCAAAAATAATCACGAATTGAACTGAGGAGACACTAAATAGACTATTTCAAAAGTCTTTCCACCCTCAAGCCCCACCCCAGGCTTATGCTAACAGCATTGACATTCACCCTCAGAATCCAAACCTGTATTTGTAAAGGGAAACCACTGAGAATGGTACAGCTGTACAGAAAGGCCGAGCCTTCCCTCAGTTGTAGCTACATGGTTCTTTCCCACGCTCCTTTGCTCTGTAGTGGTTTGGCTTGGCTTGGCCTTTTACAACTTGGCAGCTCAGGAAGTCACAATGAGGGACTCAGCATCTTTTTTCCCTACTTCAACTTCTACTTCAATGTTCACTGAATGCTAGTGTTTCTTGGGGACGGATACCTGATGTCAGAATGAAATGTTCTTGGTGTTTCTTTGAAAGCACCCTTTCACATTCGTGAATCTGCCATGCTTTTGCTCTTCAATCGCATTCACTGGTGTTTTCCTTTAAGAATACAGGAAAGGCATTTCTACAGTGGCCAGGTAGAAGATCAGTGTGCTTGGAGCCTCTCACTTGAAAGTTGCAGAATTCCATTTCAACTTTGGGGAGGGTAACCTTAAGAAACGTCAGCTGGCAGGAGGATGAAAAGTGAGTAGTCTAGTTCTCTCTATTTATCCTGCTTCCTTCAGCGAGAGCTGCTTTTTAAAACCCCTTTGTTATTTGACAATAAGTTTTCAAGAGCATTTGAAGCAATTAACACCCTGAATAGAATCCTGTTGTCACATTTAATTATCAGATAGCTACTTTCCTTTGGGATATGTGACAGTTACCCAAATTGTTGGTCTTAATCTAAAATGGAGAGGAGACCTCTGACATAGTGGAAGCCACCAAAGTGGCATTTATTAAATATAAATGGCTACTGTCTGAAGGGATATGAGAAAAAAGCACCGGTTTTCAGTTCACAAATAAAATTCTTCTAAGGTGAAGGGAAAATTACATCCCCCTCCTAGTTGAAGCACCATCCCCTCTGCTCATCCTGTGATGATTCAAGATGGATTTGTTCCTATGAAGCATTGCATTTGCACTGAGATATAAAGAGCATTCTGACCTTCAAGTCCTAGCTCCAATTTGCCAAACTGACTTTAAATACAAAGATTTCCATTAGCCAATTGTCTGGAAAGTAGCTTGCATAGGACAAAGGAAAAAATAGATGATATTGATTTGAAATGAAGAAAGTTCACTTTGGTGCATTTTAGGAACCCAAAGAGAATCAGCTAAATAATATGCATTGAGAGGGAAAACATTTACCCACTGGGCAGTATCTTGCAATAGCTAGAAACATGAAACTCATTAATTGTGTTAGAAATTAGGTACTTAATGAATTGTGCCCTGAGATAGTTAAAGTTTATTGTGCCAACTTGGTTGATAAACACATGTGGGCAGAGAAGGACAGAGAGATAAATGGCTCGGTGAGCCTCGACTTTCTAGTTCTCAGGTCTCTTGCTTTGTGATGGTTGGATCAGGGTGCAGCTCCCTGAGCCAGTCCCCTGCTTTGGCTGGCAAGGCTCACTTCCTGCAGGATGTCCCCGAGAAGAAGCCACATGGACCTACCCCGATGCAGCCCTGGGTGCTGGAGCAGCCATGTGGAGACCCCTGCCAGCACTGAGGTGCTTACACGTTCACTAATTTGGCTTTCCTCCTGCAATCGGTGTCATTGTGAGTGTTTTGTGAGATGGAGGAGGACTTTGTGGATTGGTGTTGGACATACAGGTTAATGTTGGACTTGTGGGCTTGGGCAGCACTGGGTAGGGATGTTTTCTTGGTGTGTACTTACCCTTTATATAAAACTCTGTCTTATACCTGAGTTTCTGTGGATTTGTTTCTCTAAAGTACCCAGACTAACACATGCCCAATATCATAGATTTTCTTTTATAACAATTCCTTGCAATCAGAAATGTCCCTGAACTTTATGGCATAGGAGAGAAGATACTTATTAGAGCCATCAAGAATTATCTCCAAGAATAAGCATAGTTCACATGGTAGAAGAAACACAAGCAAAAATGGTACTTACTATGTAAGGACTATGGCCACTGCGTCATTCAACACACTCTCCCCAAACAAGAGCGTGTACAGCTTAGGGTCAACGTGTAGTTCATGGAAAATAGCCAGCACCGTCACTAGGAAGACATGCACAGACAGTCGAGTTAGTTGGGAAACAGCCATGCTGTTTCGTTAGTTGTGGTCACCTCTAAAAGGCATTCATTTAATGCTGATCTTTTCAAATTCATTCTTTATACTGATAACAGACTATTTGAAAATCAGCCTATCGCTCTCCTGGGTAGAGACTGATCTGGGCTTTCTGTTGCTTCCAGAAAAAAGTTGGAGCTCTTTCACTCCTACAATCTGCACCTGCTCACCTCCCCAACAGCATCTCCCTCTGGCCCCTTGTGCCGCTTTCTTTACCCCTTGGAGCCGCACTCTCCTATTTTCCATCATTTCCCAATCACATCCAAAACCAACCAAACTCACATCCACCGAGTCAACACCAACTGTTATTATCATACGGCTTCCCAAACACCTCTGCCCTTTGGTCTCTCTCCAGGACCGCAATGCTCCTCATCTATCTGCCACGAGCCTACTCTTTAAGCGCGCGCGCACACACACACACACACACACACACACACACACACACACAGAATGTGATCATTTATCTTGCATTGATTCAATGTTGAAGGGTTTCTCCGGAGTTCCTCTCACTCCTTCAGCAAGGACTTCCTTATGCTCATTGCATTTGATTCAAACTGTAGAAAGAGTTTGACTTTGTATCACCCGGTACTTGGCAAACAATGAATAAATGAGTGAATGTATGAAGGACTATGATTGCAGTGCTATTTCAGTAAAGGGAGACCTGGTAAGCAGCTGATTCTCTCACTCTGGAAGTGAGGTCCCATTTGTCTATAAAGATGATGCAAAGTCCCTAAGAGGGACACCTTGAAATCAGTCTCAGTTGATCTGCTGCTTAGTTACTATATGCCCTGGACATACCATGAGCTTCAGTGAGTGCATCCGGACAATAAATGATTAATGCTGATAACCTGTATTCATCAAAACTATTCAGTGTCTTGAGATCTACAACAGTTATGTAAATATGGACAGCAATCAGTAGGAAAATGACCCATTTAATTGATTGCCAGAGGGGGAAAGAGGATGATAGAAGTGATACTGATGGTACTTTTAAGGTAAAGTGGACATTTTCATGTCTGCCCCTTCCTTTCCTTTCTATAAACAATAGTTGGCCACTTGGCTTGGTGACTTGATTAGTTGCTCGAAACAGAATCCGTTAAAACGGATCTAATACATCCCTACCACCTCTGCTTGAAGCTAAATCTAAGGTTGGGGAGCAGTTGCATCGCTGTCTCCAAAACTTGTGACAGATTATCCAACCAGCAGAGTATGAAAGTTTTACTGTAAAAGTACACTTAAAACATGTTCTTCCCTTGGTCCCAAATAAATCATTACAATGGTGTCTACTAATTGCTAAAAAAGTTATTAGCTGCAAGAGTTTAAAAGGGGAAACAAATTATTTCTATTGAAAATGTCAGGGTAAGAGTTTTTACTACTAAATGGGCAACAGAGCGGTTTGCTCCAAACTTTTGAGGTTACTAAATATGCTGTAAGAAAGGTGGGCAGAGTAAGAGATAGAAGTTGAGATCAGCGTTTGAATATTTCCTGAGTAGTGTCAAGAAGTTGTAGTACTGGCAAAGAATATTGAAAGTACTATGGACTGACAAAAGAACAAGCAAATCTGTCTTGGAAGAAGTACAGACAGAGGGTTCCTTAGAGGCAAGGATGGCAAAACCAGGCCTTACATACTTTAGACAAGTTGTCAGGAGAGACCAGTCCCCGGAGAAGGACATGATGTTTGTTTCAGGAGAGAGGCAGCAAAAAAGAGAAAGGCCCTCAACAAGATGGATTGACACAGTGGCTGCAACAATGGGCTCCAACAAAGAACAATTTTGAGGATGGGACAGTGTTTTATTCTGTTGTGCGAAGGTTCCTATGAGTCAGTACCAACCCAACACCACCTAAGAACAACGGCAACATCAAGCGATTGGGTGCCTATCCTTTCAATACTCTGGCAAGATGAGGCACATCTGGATTCAGGCCTGAAGAGAGGGCTCCTCTCAGCACACCCACTGCCTTAGGTTCTGATAAACGTATGACTACAGTTCTGTGACCTTCACTTGTTCCTTGGCTCTTATCTTCTTTCTTTGTCACTAGCCCTTAGCACTTACTTCTAACTCACCCTTAGCCCTTAGTTCAAACCATAATACAAACTCACTGTCATTGAGCTCATTCGATCTCAGAGTAGAAAGGCTCCCCCTGGAGGTTTCCAAAAGTGTAAATATTGCCAGAGTAGACAACCTCATTTTTCTCCCACAGAACAGTTGTGAGTTTGGACCTCCCACCTTGCAATTAGCAGCCCAGTGCCTAACCCACAACACCACTAGGACGAAACATCCCAAACTCACTGCCATCAAGTCAGTTCTGACTCCTAACTCCTTTGGATTTCAAAGATGTTTAAATCTTTACAGGAGTAGACACTCTTTTCTCCTGAAAAGTGAGTGCTGGGTTCGAATCCCTGACCTTGCACTGAGCGGTTCACTGTATGCCTAGTACACACCAGGGCATCTCAATGACTAATAAGTGAATGGAAGAAAGGTAATTCCAGTGATAACAGAGCAGAGCCTACATCCCAAGATATGTTGGATGGAGAATTAGTGGATCTTGGTGCCTAAACTCTGGTGGGGCAGTGGTTAAGTTCCCAGGTGTGAAAACTAAAAGGCTAAATCCCAAGAGTTGTTCTGTAGGAGAAAGATGGGCCTGTCTGCTCCTTAAAGATTTACAGTCTCAGTAGTGAGTCGGATGAGTTGGATCAGAAGTGACTCAATGGCCGTGCGCTTGGTTTGGTTTATTGAGTTTTTGTACTTGAGAAACAGCAAGGTGAGACTAGGAGTTTCAACCTTGGGTAATCAGTCGATGGGTTACAGAAAAGAAATCAGTAATTGGGCAGGGGAATACAGTGAGCCTGGCTTTGAATAGGTTGACTTAAATAGGTGGAATTTCAAGTGGAGAATTCAAGAAGAAAGATGGAAATGGGGTGGAATTTGAACCAAATTTAGGTCAGAAAGGGAAAAATGGAGATTACTTATATGCCGACATAACAAAGTCATGAGAGTGGCTGAGATGTCTGGATGAAGAATGGAGAAAGAGAAGAGTGCTTACGCGAGACACTAGGGAAAGAAGACAGCTCATGGGTGAGTGAAGAAAATAAACAAACCCACTACCATCGAATGGCTTGCAACTCATAGTTATAATATAGAGTAGAACTGCTTTCCTTGGGATTTCTGAGACAGTAAATCATTATGGGAGCAGACAGCTTTATCTTTTGCCCTCAGCACAGCTAGTGAGTTTGAAGCATTGGCTAGCAAGTGGCTAACAATTCAATGCTTAACCCATTATCCTCTTTTGCCCATGCTTCTCCCACTCTTCTCAGGAACCCCTTAGTGGACAAAGGAGAGCATGAAATACACATTGTGCGTTTACCAAGTCTGATCTTAAGTGTGCACATGTTAGCTAGAAACCAAATGCATTATACATTTCGGTATATAAATTTGTATTTACTAACAATTTCCTCAATACTCTAGAGGAAAGAGTATTGAATTAAAAAGTAAGCTTGGGATAGAAGAGACAACAGAAAATAACATAAATTGGTATGACAATTGGCCAGATCCCATTTTATAAGACATAGAATCAATTCAGTGTTCTAATTGAATAGGCCTCCTAGTTTGAAATAGAAATGTCACATCATCTAGCAATCCCTCTGATGAATATAGATCATAAAGAACTAAGAATCCTAACACAAACAGACACCATACACATCCATGCTCATCACAGCACTGTTCACAATAGCAAGAAGATGGAAACAACCGAAATGCCCAGCAGTAGAAGAATAAAGAAAGTGGTACATCCGTAGAATGGAATACTATGCAGCACTAAAAAGCAAGGACAAAACTCAAACCAAGAATCACCTCATGACAGGGATAGACCCGAGAATATGAAGTTGACCAAAAGTAGCCAACACAAAATGACCAATATTATATGAAATCACTGATATATATATATATATATATATAGAGAGAGAGAGAGACTGATAGATAGATCATATATATATATATATGACTTTCATGCCCCAAAGAACTGTCTTTGGAGACTGTTGATTGAGGGAGGGAAAGGAGGAAACCTAAAGAAATGGGCTAGAGTCCAGGGGTTGGCCAACTGTGACTCATGAGCTATATATGCATATGTAACTGTGAAGTAAATTTTTTCAAAGTTGAAAGGATATTATTCAGATAATGATGATTTCGTTTTCTTGTAAAATCTATTTATGGTTCTAAAATAATTTTTAAATTGCTGTGAGGGACAGGATTTGCTCTTCTGTCTCAAAAGTTTGCCCACCCCTGGACAAGACTGACGACTCGAGTTAGGGTGGGTGAAATGGAAGACAGTAGTCCACAAGAGAAAGAAGCAAAAGCAAGGAGCGGATTAATTAGTAGTTTAAACTGTTGAATAGAAAGTTTAAGATCTGAAATGTAAATCTCCATTTAATTTACAATAAAAATTGTTTTTTTTAAAAAACAGCAGACAGGTAGAGAGAGAAAAAATGTCAGTGTGTTTAGCATGGTTTTGGTGTTTGAAGATAGTGGTGGAGTTAGGTAGAAACCTCTCCAGAGAGCGTCAAGATTCTGCATTCAATTAAAGCTAGAGGATTCAATCGTAGGCTTTCATTATTTGAATTTTCCATTTGCTAGTGTTCTAGGGAAAAAAGGTAAACATATTCTTAAGCTAGAAGATTCTACCATGGTAACTCTATTGTTGACATTCGTATTTTCAAGCTCTGGAGATGAATGGAAGTTCACCTCCAACCCCAGGAAGAGTTCACCGGGTCATGAATAGGGATGTAAAATCCTGGGTTCCTCTCCCAATTTCCCCAGCTATGAAGATGTACTCCACGCCTTTTCATTGAGAACTTTGTGCCTTTAATTGAATAGTCAGTTTTGTTTAAAAGGCCTCTGGCACTCCCACGATCCTTTTGCACAAAGCACTGAGCTCCCGT